AAATAGCGCTACCCTGTATTGCTGATATCTTTTGCAGTAAATTGAATTGTTTTTGACTTTGACTTTTTTTATTTTTATTTTATTTTGCGTTTTTGCTTCAGTTTGTTTTTCCCTTTTTTGAGTGCAATGAATGTGGAAATTATTGTAAATTTGTCGACTAAAGAATTTCGCTTGAGGGCTACATACAAACAACGGTTTTTGTAAATATACAGATACTCAAGTGAAAGAAGCTACAAATGTAAGAAAAAGTAGTCGAAAGGTTTTGAAAAATTCGCTTTCAAAATAATATTTAAAATTGTTTAAAGAATATGTGCATATTTCTTTATAATTTGACTCTGCCATTGTGTTTTTTTTCATAGTATCGACTTATGGTATCGTGGCTCACTTCATTATTTTTCATTCATAAAATTTCTGGGCTCCCAATAGTATGCAACATTTATAGTAATACATTTTTTTTTAACAATTTCGATTTTTAAATGATTCTAAAGTGTAAATTTTGTTTTTACAAAAAACTACTTTTTTTTTTAAGTTGCCATTGTGTCAAAAATCAAAATTATTACTAGTCCTTCGTTCTTTACCTCTATTCATTTATAATAATAGCAAACTTTTTTGGATTTGAGCAAGTTTTAAGCGAAGACTCATTGTAATAGCAATTTTTTTTGGATTTGAGCAAGTTTTCAGCGAAGACTCTGCTTCAGCGTCAGACACCGTTTTTCATGGGTTCTCCTGGCGATCATCCACGCCAACAAGAGATCCGAAAATGTTTTAAATGAATCACCGATTTTTAAAATATATCAAGTTCCGTAAATGTATATTATTATTTCTTATTTATTAAATAAAATGTCACTTCAAAAAAAAAGTCGCAAAAAAATCGCTTTTTCTGACTGTCAAGTGGAGTATAACGCTTCAATTCGACTTAAACCAATTTAGAATCTTACCAGATATATGCTAATACATATGTACAATATATATTTTAGTACGATAATAATTATTTGAAAACTAGCATTTCACCCATTAATATTTGAATTATTATTATTTATACATTCTTCTGCGTTCTTACAATAAGTAATAGTTTAAAAAATTATAGTGGCTCACAAAAGTATGCAAGAGTTGCATTAATTGCTTAGTTGTTATTTAAAAAAAAAAAAAAAATTATTTAATTTGCTACTGCCTTGAGTCTTATCAAGTATATTTTAAGCGCCACAACTGCCAAGCTTGGCATGCAACTTTCGTATTTCCAAAACTTTGCCAACGAAAAAAACTTTTCACTTAAGGCCGTAAATCGGTTTCTCTGTTGCAAAAGACATTTGCGCCATCAAAGCGATGAATTAACGCGCATATTTAAAATGGTGGAAATAAAAAAAAATTAAATTAAAAAGTGTTACAAAAACTTAAATGTTGCAAAAAACTTGCACACTCAAACACACATATATACATGCACCCACGTAGATACATATGTGAGCAGCGACAGCATACCCTCAAACGACCTTAAAAAGCACTTATGCCTCCACGCTTTTATAAAACTTTTCACTTATGAAGGTGACTAGGTGGTTGGGGCGGGAGAGGAGTGTGTTTAGCTAGATGAAAAGGGTGAAAATTATGCTTTTGTTTAAGAAAAAAGCTTACTCATTCTTACAACATCTGAAGAAAATTATACATTTGTCTTGCCAACTCTTGGAAAGTTAAATGAAAACTTGAATTAAATGCGAACGCCAAAAAAAGAAATTAAAGTAAAGCATTTGTAAAGAAAGTTCATGTGCATATTTTGTGGTGGATTAAAGCAGGCTGCTAACCGCAGCTTATGAGCTTTCGGCATAAGTGTGATATATGCACACATACATACATATATTTAGTTCTTAGCTCGTATATGAATGCGTATACATATGCATTTATATGCGCCCTCTAACTCGCTAGGTGTTGAAACTCATTAGTGTTGTAGTGCCCTACTGAAGTAGTGACTGGAAGCGGCCTTTGAGAGGCTTTCGAAAAACGGCTTGATCTTTCATATCTACATTTTTAGCATTATTGTTGTTGTATGTGTTGTTGGTTTTGGTGGTTGTGAAGAGCCTACAAGTAGAAATGCATAACAAACTAGCGCAAGCCACAAAAAAGGTCAAAATGCTTTACGGGCTTAAACGGACAAAAATGGAAGCTTAAAAGCTTTAGTGCTTATTTAACAAAGAAAAAAATAAATTTCTCCTTGAGGTGTGCACGAGATGCGATTATGTAGAGAACTTTTTGTGTATTTTGCCAAATGCTTCAATTGCAAGCGCTATGCTTGAACATTAGCTTGGAATGATTGATAGCACAATACGTACTTGAAATTATTTCAAAATTATTTATCGAATTTTTCATTAATTTTTCAAATGATTGAACAGCAAGGGCTATGCTTGTACACTGATTTGAAATGATTGAAAGTAAAATATGCGCTTCAAACTACTTCAACTTGCTTCAATGCTAATATTTTGAGTAGATTTTCGCATTGTTACCTTAAAAGTTGCTGTACGATAAGCTTGCTAATGCTTGACCTTAACTATATTGCATTTTAATAAAAAAAATTATTACCAGCGCTTTCATAATTAAAATATCAACTTCAGAGTTGCAAAAATAACCTAATTTGAAGCATGAATGGCTTGTCAAGCCGCTGCTTGAACCTCTGTTAAAGCGTTTTAAGTAGCTTATTTCAAGAGAATAAAGTTCTTAATACGTTCTCGAAAGTTAAGAGAGATATTTTGATATAATATGTATTTTTGCTTCATCAACAACAATCGTGCTTGCAAAAATGTATTTTATACTTGCAATTGCATTATTTGTGAAGACTACATTGAATTTCGTAGTTTCAAGCAATCATTTGCCTAATACCTAATGAGCGCACGAAACTTGATCCGACGTTCTTAATTTGAGTTTTGAACTTGAATACTGCTTGAACTTGAATACTTAAAATTATGCTTGAAAGAAAAAAAACCTACTTTTAGTCTCAATATGCAATTTAACAAATTAGCACTAATCTTGTTGCTTGATACTATGCTTGAACTCTAAAAATATTGCTAATTATAAGATTTTCTCTACTTAAAACTATTTACACTTTAGTTATTTAATTATTTAAGAACAGTGCCACTAATACAAAGCATTAAACTTGTTCTCGCGTGCTTGACCGTATGCTTGATAAGGCAATTATCACAATTTAAAGCTTTAAGCGACTGCCGAAGGTCAACATCACAGCACAGCTCTATTTAAAGGCAATCAAACTATGCTTGTATGGTGCAAAGCCGACTTTTTGCGTTGCTGAATACTTTGAGGCCTTTGCCACTGCTATGCAATGCAATTTGAATGAAACAGCTGTCAACAGCTGGTGACTTGGATTTAATGTACTTGAAAATAGAAAAAAGCCGATTACAGAGATTAGGTGATTTCCTTGACGCTTGGCAAACGAGCGCTGCTATCACATGCATATACTCATACTTCTGTATGTCCACATGTCAACATGTATTAGTGTGTGTGTGTGTGTGTGTAAATATATAGGTGAGTTAACTGCTTAATGCTGGAATGCATCTGCAGCTGTTGCAGGAAGTTTGATATCTTTACAACTCTTCATTCCTGCGCACATAAACACATACACACACACAGATGCAGTCTTACAAGTCTTTTCATATCGCGCATTGTCACAACGCGGCGCACCCGATGAAGATGAATCCGTTCGTAATGACAAATGTGCGGAGTGAAAAGCACTTGACAGCATCCACCTACTGTCATTTCAGCGCTGATGTGCACCAGTACAACAACAACAACAACTAATCTGCATGCGCATATGTAGTATGTGTGTGTGTGTGTGACTGTAAGCAGTTATTGCAATCATTGCAGCTTAGCTGTCAGTCGCGTGGCAGCTACGTAATGGAAGCGCCACCTACTTTGCGCACACGTTGTGGCAAGGCTGTCTTGTTTCATTCTAGATTTTCCCGCTATTCCTTGTACACACATTATACTCTCATCTACAAGTATGCCCACGCGCTTACGTCGTTTGGCAATTGGGTCAAGTGTGGCACAGCAGCGACCAAGTAAACACATGCAGTTGTAAGCAAGGCATATATGTATGTACATGCATACATACATGCATGCATTTGCTGCAGTTGCGCACAAATAAAAGAAGCGCGCCGTGATTCGCTGCACACTTGTTTTGAAGTGTTGGAGGCATTAGAAAATTAAGTTGTAAAAATAAATTTTTGCTGCCTTTATATGTATTAACTTGCGTTGTGCAGCATACTTTAAGGCGTATAATATTTAAAATGAATTTTTAACAACTGTATATATTTATATTGTGTTAAAAACATGAAAAAAACTGTCCGTTGCACCGATGCTGTAACACCCTACACAAATAATAAAGTTTTTCATATAAAAATTTACTTTTAATGGGTCAGTTTGTATGGCAGCTATATGCTAGACTAGTCCTATCTGAAAATTTTTTTGGCAGATTACAGCCGTGCATTTGACAATATTTTACGCCAAATTTCGTAAAAATAACTTGTCAAATAAAAAAGTTCTCCATACCAAGACTTGATTTTGACCGGCCAGTTTGTATGGCAGCTATAGACTGAAGTAGTCCGAACTGAAATTTTTTTTTTTGCAGATTGTACCGTTGCTTTGAATAGTAATCCATGTCAAATTTAGTGAAGATATCTCTTTAAATAAAAATGTTTTCCATACGAAAACTAAATTTTGATCGTTCAGTTGGTATGGCAGCTATTTGCTAAAGTTATCCGATATCGGCGATCCCGACAAAGAAGCAGCTTCTTTGGTAGAAAAGGATGTGTGCAAAATTTAAGTTCAATATTTTAAAAACCTGCAGGTCAAGTTTGCGTATTTACCGACAGACAGACGGCTGTTGCTTAATCGGCACGACTAAATCGTGCTTATCACGCTGATTATATTTTCTTTTGTAAACTTTTTTTTTACCTATAATATATCAAAACTCATTATCTTCTCTCCTCTCTCTCTCTTTTCAGGTAAGTTTCAGCAAAATAGTTTCATAACTACCACCACAAACAGTACTAGTAAGTACACAATTTTCTATTACACTTAAAAAAAAATTATTAACCAAAATTACATATGTATATAAGGCGATTTTTCATTTGAAATATAGCTAGAATTAACAGCAGATGTTCTTAAAGCATAGCTTGACTGCGTATATAATGAAGCATGTATTTTAAGCATAATAATTCAACTAATTTTCGTACGTTCTTTAAGTTTATCTACAATTTTAATTTTAAAAACTGCAATTTGAAACCAAAAGTGTTCATAACGCGCTTAAATTTAGTGTTATTATTGTTTGAATTGTTTTGTTGAAGCATACTTTTAAGAGATGTACCCTTTATCAGTATCATATACCATAATTTTTAATTGAAAATTAATTTGTAAATTACTTTTAATTTTTTTTTTGCGTACTGGAAGCTAATAATGTTTTTTAAATTTATTATATTTATTATTTATTATTATTTTTTTATAGTACTTCGTGGTTTACCTTTCGGCGTTTTGCCTTTGGAGGTTAAGTTTTTTACTTAAGTTAATTTATAAAATATTTTTATTTTTATTCATGTCAGTAAAAGTTATTTGACATGTTTAAAATTTGTGAGGTGTACCTTTAGGCGCTAATTACATTGATTTTATACTTACATTTTTATTTTTAGGATTTTAAATTTTTTTTGACGCTGCTATTACTTTTAAAATTAGAATATTGAGAAAATGAGATTTTGTCCTTAATATTATTAAAGTCAACCTTATTTAAGTGTTTGAAATATTACGTGGAGACATACATTTAGACGATTTTCCTCTGGAACCTAAGCTTTGTTTGTTATTTATATTATATTATTTTTGTTATAAAAAATTTCTCTTTGAGGTATACTTTTAGGCGCGCATATACATTTCATACTTTGACTTAAATTAAAATTTTAAAGAGTTAAGAAAATAAATTGTTGAGGCATACTTTTTGGCAATTTACCATTTAAATAAGATAAGTTGTTTTTTTTTCTGCCAGAATATTTTCTGTAAGATATTAAAATTAGAAATTATTAAATAAAGTATTTTAATATATCTTTTTATTAATATCAATTATTCGAGCTGTTTAAAAATTTCTTTTGAGGTATACCTTAAGCATGTATATGGCTGATGGTATATAAATTTCATAATCTGGCTTAAATGAAATATAAAAATATTTTATTTCTGGTTACGTTTAGGTATAATACTTATAAACTATAAAAATTAAAAAAAGAAAAATTGTCGAGGCATACTTTTAGGCGTTTTACTTTTTAAATAAGATAAGTTGCATATTTTTACAAGAATATTTTGCGTAAGTTATTAGAACTATTAAGAAAATTGCTAATTTTGTTTATGCACACTTTTAGGCGTTTTACCTTCTGTTAGAATTTTCTGAAAATCATCCAAAAGCTTTAAAATCGTTTTTATTTTAGATTATGTTTTTATATCAGCCTTGCTTTTAGCACATGTGGAGTAATTCATTTCAATTTATTTGTATATCTAATATCCTTTGGCGAAATTCATCAAAGTCAATCACAATCTCGAATTAAATGTCAAATATCACAGATTTTATCTGCCAATGACCATTAAGAGCATATGCTATTTCGCTCACACACACATATATACGAAATTTTTTCCTAATGAAGTTGTTCTTGAATTAGCCCGATGTATGCTTGAAATTACGAAAGCAAATCAAAGCGACGGATAATAGTCTTTCCAGAGAAATCATTATCATTATAAGAGCGAGGGTGCAGTGCAGTGGTGGCAGAAAAGTAATGCCAGCTTGATGACAGACACGAAGATAGATGTACTTGAATATGCAAAGTGGCATAAAAAAGCCATGAAACTACGCCCCCTCAAACCGTCCACCCTTTGTTTAGTGGCAATGAGCTAATCCACTTTAAACAACTCACTGGTTGTTGTTTTTATATTTTGCTGCTGGCAATTGAATTACTCATAGCTATTTACACACTTGTGTCTGTCGCCCACTGCAGTTGCCAGGCGACCAACTGCCGATCGCCTTCAATAGGTGCTACCTGAAATCAGTTTCGTCTCACTCTCTGCCCTTTACATTTTCTAGCCTCTTGCCGCTTTGACTTCTCAGCTGCTACCTGCAGGTCGCTTTATCTTCCACTTGCATTAACATTTCAATTTCCCAAGTGCATTCGCCGTGGCATATTTTCGAGAATTCACTAACTTTCGGTTTCTCCAACCAATGTAGTAGTCTCGACCTGCAGGCGCTTGTGTTGTGGCCTATTTGTTGTAGGTCACCTAGCAGCACCAGCACCAGCTGCCGCTTCGTTGCTGCGCTTGCAATGTTGATTTAAAAGCTTCAAGTGTACATTACAAAATATTTATCTGCATTAGCATATCACGTCTCCAATGTTTGCTCGGAACTCGCCACCATTGCTTTACCCAGCTCTCCTGCCCTCTTCTCTCTGTGCGCAATCTGTTCGTGCATATTTATTGCGCTTGTAAGTGCTTTCTGCAATATTAAAATATTATTAGTCCCTTTCGCAATGGCTAAGTACATATTTATCGCAAAACTCGCCGTTGCAAGGCGAACGGATTTAATTTCCCATTTTCCCGGAAGCAGCAAAGGACATTTTGCGAAATTATTATGGAACTTAATTTATGTTGGATTTTGTTTCGGTACTGTTATTTTTGTTAAAGAAGCGTAAAGCAAAAATTTAACTAATCCCAGTTTAAACGACTATTGAAAGCTGTAAAGTAAGCTGTTAATAAGAATATAAATTCTAGAAAAAATGCGAGTTTGATCGTGCAGTATTTTATAGCATAGTTTCCGGAGCATTGATTTTTTTTTTACTTAGTTCTAACAAGTTAATTTATAGACAAAAAGAAAGCTATTTCAAAAAAAGTTTCTTTGGAATATGCTATCAAAAGCATATTTGGTATAAAAAGTAAATGAAAGCTTAATAAAAGCCAAAAATTTTGAAGGAGCTTTTTGCAAACTGTTTGTCAAAAAAAGTTAATTTTCTCAAAAAGTACATTTCTGCAAAGCTTTCTGAAAGCTTTCATCGTTATAGAGCTTTTATCGAGCTTTTTAAATTTCATTTATCTATATGGATTATACTAAACAAATAATAATAAGCTGTCTGAAAGGTACAGTTTTTAAAAGCTTTTTGAAAGCTTTATTCGAATTAGAGTTTACATCTTCTTTTTTTCATATTGTATATTATTATAAATTGTTTACTCATATTCTTGTACAAAATCTGTGAAAAAAAATTTTTTTGTCTGTTAATAATTTATTTAGAATAAGGATTTTCAAAGCTTTTATCGAAAAAATTTAGTATCTTGTACTGTATAAACTCCTAAAAAAGATACATTATTGCAGAGCTTCTTAAAAGCTTAATTAGAAGTGGAGCTTTCATGCAGCTTTTTTTTATTGCTTTTACATAATTATGAATTATGTATTAATTTTTGAGTTTATACATATACAAGTATATGAATTATTTTTTAATAAACATGTCCAAATTTTGCAAAACAAATTTTTGTCAGTAAAAAAGTATGTTTAAAGGTAAAGTTTGTCAAAGCTTTCAACAGCTTTCTCTAAAGTTTAGCTTTCGACAAAGTTTTTTAACTTTGTTGTTTGAAGTTGAACCTTGTCAAAGCTTTCAACAGTTTTCTTTGAAGTATAGCTTTCATTTATTTATTTTTTCATATACCAATATATACATTTAATTACTATAAAAAAGCCAGTTATTAGATGAGCTTCGATATAGCTTTTTACTTACTTAATTTTAAATTAAAAATGGAAAGCTTTTCTTATCAAATTAACTTTAATCAGTTTTTTCACAAGAAATAAAATAGATCGTTTAGCTTCAAAATCATTAAAAAATCCTTTTTTTAATGAAAAATAGTCAGCGCCATACAAACTGGTCCATCAAATGGAAGTCCTTGTATAGAAAACTTGGCATAGATATTTATCCAAGGCAGCGCAACAATCTCTGAAGAAATCATTTAGATCGAAGTACTATAGCATATAACTGCCATACAAAATCAAACTCAAAATTAAGATAAAGGTATTTTTATAGCCTTTTATGCTTTAAGAAATGCGCATGTTTAGGGTATTATAACTTCAAGGCAACCGATCTATATTTAATTTTATAAATATATATTATATATCCCAGTCAAATATAAAAAAAAAAAGTTTAATATAAAGTGTATGCAATAAAAAATAGTACTGTTCCAACAAACTTTCCACTCATAAATATCATAAATTTCTCATTCACTGCCAGAGTGCTATTAAATATAAAAATATGCACATGAGTATGTATACAGGTCATAAAGTATTTACTCGTAGATAAATTTGGCGCTGCATGTAAAGCGACGCTAATTGCTTTTTATTTATACAACGCTTAGTATACACATATACCACACACATACGTACATAAAACCAACAAAAATTAATACATTACAGTGTCGTGATTTATTTACGAGCTTCTAAATGACATAAGTCAATAACAGTCAACACGAGTAGCGACACAGCGCGCACAGCTGTCACAATTTCGGTTGCTCAAAATAAAATCGGTGCCTAAATATACAAGCTAATGCATATATTGTAGAAGCACATATTTGGGCACAAGGAAATTTTTTATACCCTGTACAGGATTCCAAGAAGCTGCGCATTTGAATTGCCGACATCGAACCATTATAGCTTATAGCTGTCATACAAATTGATGGTTCAACTGATTTGATAAGACATTGTCATAAAATTTGACGTCGACTATTGTTCAAAACAGCACTAGAATCTTCGAACAAATTGTTCAGATTGGACAAATTTAGCATATAGCTCCCATACAAGGGCGATCATAATTGTATGGAAATTTTTTTCCTTTTAATTTTTTCAGATATCTCCAGTAAACTAAGGATAGCTTATTTTCCAATGCAACACTATCAGCTCTTAAGATAATATACAGATCGGACCACTATAGCTTATAGCCATACAAACTGACCAATCAAAATCAAGATAAAAATATTTTTATACATATTTATGCAC